TTTTATATTTATCGCATTTGATTATATTATATGTATTTAGTACACATAATAATAATAATTTATATTGTATATTGCAGATTATGCATGTGATTCATACTTTACATTTACATTTGCATTTTAACCTCTTGCGCTGGCGACTGGTTCGCGGACCATAACGAGTGACCAAATCGTATGCAATAATTCGTCGCTTTCTTTTCGAACTCGTCTTAGTGATATCGTTGGATAGAAATTATTACTAAAAAATAATAAATTTATTATTCGTTTTGCGTTTTGGATTATATTTTAATATACTTAAAACTGAGAGAATATTGGAATTTTGGGAGAGGAAATTTTTCAAACGTGCGTGGCACATCATCATTCCAGCGTAAGAGGTTAACTCTTTTTGCGTTGGCAATTGATTTGCGGACCATAACGAGTGACCAAACCGTACACAATAATTCGTCGCATTCTTTTCGAACTCGTCGGTATAACATCGCTGGATTGAAATTATTACTAAGAAGTAATAAATTTATTATTCGTTTTTTCTAGGTTATATTTAAATGTAACCTTAAAACTGAGAGAATATTGGAATTTTGGGAGAGGAAATTTTTCAAACGTGCGTGGCACATCATCATTCCAGCGTAAGAGGTTAACTCTTTTTGCGTTGGCAATTGATTTGCGGACCATAACGAGTGACCAAACCGTACACAATAATTCGTCGCATTCTTTTTGAACTACCGTCGGTATGATATCACAAATGAACAGAAATTACTAAGAAGTAATATATTTATTATTTGTTTTGTCTTATACTTTTGGGACAAAAAATTTTTAACAGCTTGCGTGGCACGTCAAGAGGTTAAATATTGTATTCATTGGATGTAATTTACAATTGATATTTATTGTTTCATTGTACTATTTTTATTGTACAAGTATAATACATACTTGCCTCCAAGATATCTGTGCGATATGTATGACGATGGCGGTGGAAACGGATGAGACCTCACGGACACGCTAGATACACACCAGCAGCGATTGGACAGGTCCGATAACATCCTTTCGTCCACAATCTGCGTCTTTTTTTCCTCCCTTCGGGATGCCATTTGAATAACAGACGAGGGGAGAGCAGTCACGAGAGCGGAGCGGGGAGAGACTCGCGCGGAATCCCGGGGTCAACTCGCCACCGAACGCGCCTTATCCGATCTAATACCGATTGTTCTTCCCTTTGTTTTCTTTTCTTTCCCTTTAACCCATCTGTATCAGAGGTTAGAGCCGTTTCACCTTTGATCCACGAACAGAGTCCACGTTGCAATTTTTCTTTCATTCTAGAATTTTTCGATTTTCGATTTTCGTCGCAGATTAAAGTTCGTTTGCCTTCGAATTAATTTCGAAGCTGGTAATATTTCTCTTACGATAGTGAGAAAGTATCTTTCGTTTGAACGAAATGCGTAATGTAAAAGGGTTCATCGAATTTTTATTTATCTATTCGGAAATTATTGGGTCAACCCTATAATTTTAACCCTTTGTGTTAGGGAAGATCTCAGTGACGATCTCAATGAAAATGCATTAAGCTCTTGAGAGTAATTCTCTTCATCTCGATATAAGTTATTTATTATTTGTTCGTTTTTCTTAAGAAGAGAACCTACTCAATTTTTGAACAATTCAAGGTCCAACAGCGTGACACCGACGAATAACTTATTGTAAAACTTTCATTGACACCAAAGTAATATTGTCAAAGTAG